TTTATTTTTAATAAACACGAGCATAAACAGGGCTCGTGGCCCTCACCTGTGGTCCCAGCTTGCTTCGCAGGCTAAGGTGGGAGGATTGCTTGAGCCTCGGAGTTCAAAACCAGATTGAGCAAAAAGGTGAGACCCCGTGTCAAAAATATATGTGATAATCAGGTCCTCCAGGCCACACCCTAGACCACAGGGTTGTTGGGATGATACAACATTAAGTAAAAGAACTTGAAGTTCACGACAGAGCGCTCTGAAGTGACACGCCAATCGCCCTCCGCTCCTCCCCTCGCCCCTCCCCCTGCCCCTCAGCCCCGGCGTACGCGAGGCGCGCAGGCGTCGCGTCGCGTCGCGTTGCGCCGCGTCGGCCGAGACGCTATCGCGAGAAGAGCCGTACTAGTGGGGGGGGGGGGGGAAAATGGCGCCGCCCAATACCCGCGAGCCCGGGGTCCTGTCGGCCACAAGCGCCGCCAAATCTGACGGGGAGATGGTGTTGCCAGGCTTCCTGGACGCCGACAGCTTCGTGAAGGTGAGTTCGCGGGGCCTCGGGGATTCCAGGAGTCTCCCGCGGCCGCCGGAAGCCGAGCCGATCGCTCTGGGCAGCCAATGCCAGCTCGCCGCATTAGAGCCCCGACGAGGGTCGCGGGGCCACTGTCCGCAGCGCAGACTCTACCTGCACCCTGCGGGGATGGGTCCTCGGAAACGGACGCTTAGGGACGTCCCGCTTGCCAGCTTAAGTCCACATAGGCCCAAATGTGGAAAGCCGTATCGCATCCTAGAAAGGGCTTCCTTGCCACCCAGACGTCCCCAGACCTTGCATCGTCCCCCCTGCCACTCCTGAGACACCTGGCCAACTCTCCTCGGGGGCTCGGCTGTTTCGCGCTCCCCACACTTGTCCAGAGTTGTCCCCTCCCGCGGCCGGGATGGCCCCTCTTCCCTTCCTCTGTTCCGAGGTCCAGTCCTACATAATTTTTAAACCTAAGTTAAATGTCACTTGTTAAAGTTCCATTGCACGTTTCTCAGTAACTCCTGGAAGGTTCACAGAAGGGTTCACGTAAGTTCTTTGTATAACTTAGCTTACACATGAACAAACATACAACTAGGTTTAAACTGTGCATAGCTCTTTTTTTTTTTTTTTTTTGAGACGGAGTGTCGCTCTTGTTACCCAGGCTGGAGTGCAATGGCGCAATCTTGGCTCACCGCAACCTCCATCTCCTGGGTTCAGGC